TGTTATTCCCTTATTTGTGTTTTTAAAATGGAAGAAAAGTTTTTGAAGTTTGTGTTTTAGTCATATTTCGAACTAAACCTGGTGTTAAGCTATCTTCTTCTTGTTGTTATTTAAGTTTGGTTTTCCTGTCATAGAAGTTTGTTACATACTATCCTACATATTAGTACAAACTATAACAAAAAACAAAACATTTGTATTGCTTAAAAAAACCTTTATATTGTTTCTACTCTCAATAAACTTGTTAAAGATATTAACGAAGAAATGTTATGTTGTTCTTTTATTGTAAGAATCATGTAAAACATGTTAACTAACAGAGAATATAATTATCTTACTAAGCATCTTAAGTACTTAGAAGGAAATACAACACATCATGCTTAGCTTATTGAACATTCATCCTTCTCGTTGCCTATATTAAAAAATCTTAACCAAACGCATCTATTCTTTATGATGTTTTATCTTTATTGAAATAAATACCAAACTCTCAACAACCAGCAAAAATATTTTCTACCCTAGTTTGTTCCATTTTATATTCTTCTCTATTTGTGTTATCATCCATCTTTATATCATGAGGTAGTATTTTAATTTAAAGTTTCTATAATTTTTATTTCTTTTTCCTATTTTTAACTTTTTAAATTAACACACAAGTTATTTTCTTTTGCAACGTCTCAGAGGAATGTTTTGTTAAATAGTAAATACAATTAAAATTTTATTGGTGATGAATAAAAGGTAATGTTCAATTTGTTGCGTAAAATACTCTCCTTTTAAACAAATTTTATGGTAAACGATTATTTTTTAAGAATAAGTATCAACAAAATAGATAGGACTTTCCAAAGCATATAGAAATTAAATTATATTAACTTTGAGTTATTATTCAGACTATTATTTCAAACTATAATGTAAGAATATGGCATTAAAATCAGGAAGATAATCAATATAAGAGTTAGTCATATATCCTTGGATTTATTATATCTTTGATATTATAACAAAATATTTATCAATTAAAATGCATATAGATAAAGAAATAATAAATTTATGACTGTAATAAAATAGTTGTTCAATAAAGTTTGTGATAGTATTATTAATCTTACATTAAAAAGTTAATAAAAGTTAATAACTGGCATACCATTAACGTCAAGAAAAAAGTAATTTATAAGTAAGTCATTTTTTTAAATATAAACATAACAAACTTCAAAATTAAAAATAGTTAAGTTCTAAATAATTGAAGGGTAATATGCTAAAGGTAAAAGAATATATTAAAACATAAATACAATAAGAATATACAATTATTCTATTTATCTAATGAACTATAACTTCATAAGTATTTATAAAAAGAGACTTTGGTGATAATATTGTAAATTCATTAAAAATACTTCTTTATAATAACAATTATTAAATCTTCATAAAGGTTATAAATAATTAACAATATATCAGTTATTTTTTAGAATGTAAATAATTATTTGTCATAGATACTTTGTTTTATTCAAAAACTAAAGTCTGTAAGATTCACTCAAATATTATTAAGTATGAAAATATGTACATGAGATTTTGTCAATTGAAAAATTAAACCAATCTATAAAAACACAATGATATAATCAAACTTATAGAAAAATATGCTTGTTTGTAAAGCAGATATATCATTAATGCCTATACAAACTAAACGACATTTAATAAATTATAACTAGTATCGTTCTTCAAATTATATGCATATGATAATAAAAAATTACAAACTAACAAATGTGTCGCTTTATACAATAAAAGATGAAAATGTTAAAAAGAGTGTTACTTTCTTTTATTATTGAACTTATACTCGTAATAACAAATCGCAACTTTAATAAAACCAATTCTTTTAATCAAAAAATAATAAATTTATTTATTCTTAAATTTTATATATATAATAAAGCAATTATCTGTTTTGTTTTTATTTTCTTTCAATAATTCCATAAAATTGCAATACCAAATGTTGAATCAAAATTGCGATAAAATAAAAGTTAGTTAATAAATATTTGTAGCACTCAAAAATGTTATAATAATCAAAAAAATAATAAAACAATATACAAAAGTATGTCTATGTATTTTAGAAGTTATGATGAGAGTTATTAGCTCTTTAGATGTTCTCTCTTTTATCCATAAGAATATCTTTTAATCTGTAAAGATAAAATAAAATTATAAATAAAATCATAATTCAAAGAAGGATTAAATAATAGTTTAATACCTTTTATCTCTTCTCAATAATTCTTATATTAATAAATAATTAAAATGAATACATTATTGGCATTGAAGTGACCTTCTCTTAGATTGTTTCTTTTCATATTTAGGCGTTGTTCCAGATATGTCAGTATTTCTTTTGTTTATAAGAACATACTTTTTATTGTCTCTGTCCTCTTCTTGGGGAAGCACTTCAGTTTCAATAACACTTATGAAATCTTCTTCTGGTTGTTTTACAAAACAAGCTTGTTCCTCAATCGATTCGACTACTATTTGAGTATTCTTTAGTTCTTTTTCGTCTTTTCTCGTGACTATAGGCTTGTTGATAAGCTCTTCTTTCATCAACATTTCTGCTGCTTTCAGTCTATGCTCACGAATTCGAGAGGATCTTCTTTTTGTTCTTGGTAATTGGTTAAATTCTTCCGCTTCTATTTCAATTTTGCACTTGGTGCAATATATGTTATCTCGAAGATAGTCTCTCGTAGTGAGAAAATCTTTGCATCTAGCACACCGCTGTCCAAACGGAGAGATATCAGACATTTTATCGAAAAAGAAAGAACTTAGAATTGTTCTTCATAAAAAAAACACATTTTATTTTTCCTTTTTTTTGTTATTTAAAAACCCTTTTTTAAGAGAAAGATAGAATAATTGAAAAGAAGGAATGAACACAACAACACAATATCCTTGTTATATTCTCTGCAAAGAGGGACTTACTTTTTTTGAAGACATTCCGAAGACGTCAGTATTTAATATTGAATTTGCAAAAGCAAAACTTGCTGGTTATGCTCCCAACAAAGTTATAATTATTGATGACAAAGGAATTATTGTACTTAACCAAACAACAAAAGAAGTTATTAAAAGGATTGAAATGCTTCATATTGATAGGTTTAGTGTTTCTCCTAGTGGGAGATATATCACCGTGTGGCAACTCATTCCATTGCAATACACTCAAGGAGTAAATGGATCAGGACCTGTTAAAGTCAAACAAGACCAAACAAATACATTAAGTGTATTTGATATTGAAAAAGAAACAAACGAACCAATTTTTTCATTATTACAAAAACAAATTCATGTCTGGCCAATTATTCAATTCAATATCACTGAAACTGTTGCAATTCATCTTGGTAGTACTGTAACATTCTATAATGTTTCAGGGTCTTCATTTGTTCGTGCAGAAAAACAATTTAATAATACGTTAGTAAGAAATTTTGCATGGTCTACTAATCCAGAAACACCAGATACATTTGCTTTGTTTGTTCCAGAGAATGCTAAAAAAAATGTCCCAGCTACATTTAGAGTTGGTCATTTTCCTGACATTGTTCGTGTTATTTCATCTTCAACATTCTTTAAAGCAGGTTCTTCTGAATTAATATGGTCTCCTCGTGCTAATATTGTATTATGTAAGGCACAAACCAATATTGACTCTACAGGCCAAAGTTATTATGGTGAAAGTTTCCTTCATATAGTTAATGTAGTTGATTCATCTAAAAACATGAGCCTGCCACAACCAGATGGTCCAGTGTATGATGTGTCATTTAATAACGATGGAAGTTTGTTAGCTTCAGTTGCAGGATATATGCCTGCTACTGTAGAAATATTTAGAGTTACTCGACTTGGTAAATTAGAGTCAATTAAAAAATTTCCTAAACAAAGTAGAAACGAAGTTAAGTTTTCACCAAATAGTCAATTTCTTGCTGTTGCTGGATTTGGTAACTGTCCTGGTGAGGTAGATGTCTATGAAACTACAAAATGGAATTTGGTTGCTGAGTTTTCTGCTCATTGTACTACAGAGTGGTATTGGACTCATGACTCAAAGGCATTAGTTTTCTGTGGATGTTTCCCAAGAAGACATTTTGATAATTTTATTAAGGTTTGTCCTATCAACTCACCAGAACTACCTTCAGTTGATTTTGGTGATAAGTTATATCATCTTAATTTAAAACCTCAAAGCCCCATTAAAGATGAAGTTCAGTTCACTGTTATTCAAAAGAAAAAAGAAGAAGAAACAGCTGCATATGTACCACCCTCTCTTAGAGGAAAACGTTCATGTGCTGAAGATGACAATGATCCTATACCAGGTCAACACGCCAAAAAATTTACAAGAAAACCAAAAAAGAAAGCAACTAAGGAACAAAAGAAGTAATAAAATAAGAAAAGGTTTCATTAATATCAATATTTAAAAAATAATTTTATGTTTATTTAAAATAAAAAAAAAAAATAATAAAGTTATTGATTAAAAAATAGTTTTTTTAATATATTTTAATGATGTATGATTTTCTTAAAGTGGAATTTTACTCATTTCACGAAGAGCATCAACAGCAGTTAAGACTGTTGGATCTAAACTACTTTCAACGTCAGAAGCAAAAGTATTTAATCTTCTATTAGCAATTGCCATGCACATTGCTCCAAATCTAACCCATTTTAATCCACTTGAGATTAAACTAAGAATAGAAATCTCCATTTCTAAATTTTCAGGTTGAACTCCATCAAAGTCAAAGCAAAGTAATTTATCAATAGACTCTACAGTCTCTGGTAATTCTTCAAATAATAATCTACCTTGACAATTAAAGAATCCTGGAACAGTTGTTGTAATACCAAGTTTATGAAGAAGTTTATTCTTTTCTGAAGCACGAACAAGAGCATCAACCATACGTGGATCTGGTTGAGAGGCATAAGCATGAATACCACCTTTATAACGGCAAGTATTTGCAGCACCTTTATTAAATATATCATCAACAATATTTTCTAATTTAACAATTTGAGGAGATTGTGGTGGGATGTCATAAAAGAGACCAGTATTATCAAGACCAATAGAGTATTTAGTAATAATGGTAGTTCCTAATTTAGTTGAAGATTGTAAAGCACCAGAAGTTCCAATACGAATAATATTAACAGGTTCTTTAACTTCAATTGGTGTACGAGAATTAATATCAATTGCTTTTAAAGCAAGAACCTCATTTAAAACAATTTCTGCACTACCAGTTCCCATACCATGAGTAATTACAGACAATCTCATTCCATCTCCAATAGTATAACCAGTCATTACACATAATCCTCGATGGTCTTTACGGAAAATATCTTTTGATTTATCAAACACAAGTTCAGCAATTTTTGGAACACGTTCTGGGTCTCCAACCATAATAATATTATTTGCAACGTCCTTTGCAGTCACTTGTAAATGGTAAATTACTCCATTCTTAGCAGGAAGGGTAGCTTCGTTAATATTTGCACACATACTTTTATAGAATTCAAAGTTATCCTAACGGCAATCTTTAAATACTAGATAATGCAATGTAGAACTTTTAGAAGTATTAACTAATTGTTTTTGTTAATGCTTTATAATAAACAGAATTTCTCAGAGCTGTGCAGAACAATAAAAGTTTCTTCCACACTATTTCCTTTTCTTTCTGTTTTAGATAGAATTTTATAGAAGAATTAATTCTATTTTAATAACAATTCTCTTGTTATTTTTTGTTTTTTCTAGTTATGAGTAATAAAAACAAAAAAGTTTAACTCAACTTGTTTCTTAAAGAAGTAATATCAAAATAAAAAATGTTATTCAAAAAGAAATAATTTGTTATAACTTATTCATTTGTGTTTTTAATTTTTTCAAAAAAAAAAACAGTTAGGGTAAAACTAATAATTT